CCGTATCAAATTGACGCCAGAACTTGAGAAGATACACGACGTGTTTCATGTATCGATGCTCAAGAAATATGTGCGAGATCCGTCTCATATCCTTGAGAAACCACCGGTAGAGATACGTGAAGACCTACAATATGCGGTGGAACCGGTGAAGATTGTGGGTCAACAGGTAAAGAAACTAAGGAACAAGGAGATTCCTATGGTAAAGGTCCTTTAGAGGAGTGATCGAGTCGAAGAAGAAACCTGGGAGACTGAGGTCTCAATGAGGGAGCAGTACCCTTTCCTTTTCGATTAGACACGTGGATTTCGGGGACGAAATCCCAAATAAGGGGGGGTGAACTTGTAACACCGTCCCCAAATGTATTTACCTTTAAGCGAATAATTTATTGAACCTTATGAAGTTTTTAATGAATTTACGAAGTTGTGAATTTGTATAATATTTTTCGCGTGAATAGTAAATTGCACGTGGGGCCCACATCGGGAGTGGGGACCGCCCGATATTATCGGGGCCACATATTATATTGATCTTGGACTAGATAATATGTATATGGTGGTGGATATCCTAGTTGAGCCATGACAATGGCATAGGGTTGACCGGTTGGTCAAACGGGGCCAAATTATCAGTATCGGAAATCTATCAGATAACAGCCCGAAAAGGGATTTCGGAGACTTCTAAATTAAAGTTGAGGGATGAATATTGATTCTAAGGTCCATTAAGAATTGGGAACAAGTGTTATATTTTATTTGACCCGATAAAATAAAATATACTTAAAACAGTCCGGAAAATACAACTTTCAGGGCAAATTGCACACTTTGGGACAAATTAGGATGACCTCCCACATGGGTGGGGGCCACCCCACGAAATTGTCAACCCTTGAGGGCTGGATGAGTGCCAAATTGGCTGAACAACAATTGAGAGGATGGGGGAGACACCTTTGACATGTTGTAGACCCCCTCCCTTCACTCATTTGTCTAAATGAGACAAAACCACCCCCTCACCTCACCATCTCCACCCCCACAATTCAGCACCCTAGGATAGCAAGGAGAGGCTCCGAAACTTCTCATCTCCATAGCCCAAATCCGAACTCAAGCTCAAGGGAGTCCAAGAAGGAAGTTTAAGAAGGAAAAAGCTAGGGAAAAGTGTGAAAATTAAGGTAATGACCTTATCATAACTTTTCCTTTGTTTTTTCTTCTAGCATATAAGATATATATCATATGAAAGGCCTTTAGTATTGTTCTACATGATTTAAGTGTGGAATAATGGGTTGGAAAGTGATTCTAAGTCCAAAAACGGACTTAGAAGCCAAATCGACCGGTTTGCCGGAAAATAACCTTTTATAGGTTATTTGTGTTGATATGGGTTTTGTGATGATAAAAACTTGTTAGGAACTTGATTTAAAGTATTTTTGAGTCTCGCCGGAGTTTCGTCGGAGTTGGTCAAAGTTCGCCGGAGTTGGTCAAAGTTCGCCGGAGTTGGTCAAAGTTCAATCGAGAAACGTAGAACACGCTTAAGCTTAATTAAGGGTAGGATGACCGAATATGTTACTTATAATCTTTGGATTAATTTCATGGGATTTCCTAAGTGAATATAAATGTGATGTGCATGAATTGTTGATGGTTAATAATGCCTAAATAGAACTACTATTGATTAAAAGTATAGTATGCATGATACACAAATTTATGAATAAATTGTGTATGTTTAGATGTTATGTATATGTGTGTATGATGGTTGTACCAACCATGAATATCATTTGGGATAGTATACTTTGATGCCATGAGGAGAAGCCATGAAGGCATGAAAGTGATACTTGATATTAAGGCCAATTATGCAAGAAGAAGGATGTATATTAAAATAAATAAATAACTAGCATTGAAATATTAGTTGGAAATGTTAGTTGAGAAAAGGATGAATTAGATCCTAAGAATTTGAATTATAAGGAATCGGTGATTATGAGCCGGGCTCAAGACCGATGTAGATGACGGTGATTATGAGCTGGGCTCTAGACCGTAGTAGATGACGGTGATTATGAGCTGGGCTTTAGACCGTAGTAGATGACGGTGATTATGAGCTGGGCTCTAGACCGTAGTAGATGACGGTGATTATGAGCTGGGCTCTAGACCGTAGTAGATAACGGTGATTATGAGCTGGGCTCTAGACCGTGGTAAATAATGATGAATTGATACTAAATGAACGGATTAACTAAAATGTAATAATGCTCTAGATTGAGGGCCTCAGAGATTTAAACTTTGATTATACTTAGTATAGTTGTCATTGTACTTGTCAAATGCTTCCAAGTACTGACCTCCCCTTCACGGGGGAGGCCACCTCACAGTTTCAGGTAGAACTTGAAGGTTGCTACTACCAGCCGCTGCTTCGGGAAGTTTCTGAGGAGAAGACTTGGTTCGTGCTTCTCCCGTTCATGTTTTGAAAACAATATGAATAATGCTCATGGATAATATTTTCTGAATAATTACTTTGGAGGCTTGCATGCCTAATTATGCCAAGTGTGGCTTGAACACTTGTATCAATTGTTTCCGCTGCTTTAATAAATGTTTTACATTATGTTTGTTTATGGATGTACTATGTGTGAATGGTATTCAAGACGCCTTGTATAGTATGGATGAGTCGGACTGCGGTTTACTATTCGTACTGTACGGCGGGTTGTTGACGTGTCCGGGTAGGTCCGGGGCGTGACAGATAGGCTTCGCCTCCCGGCCGCTATAATCGAAATCGACCGAGGAAATAGATCTGACCTCAATGGCCACCGCTGATGCTGATTCAATTGTCATGGAGCGCTTCCGTTGCCGGATACGTCGATGGAGATAGGGTCACATGCAGCGGAAGGCGGCGACTAGGGTTACATGATGTGGCAGTGATGGAGGTTAGGGGTGACGAGCACCGATGTTGGGCTGATGGCTAGGGTTGCGGGTGTGGTGGTGGGCTGGCCGTGATGGGCTCCCTGTGACGGTCTCGCAGTGTATGGAACAGCGACGACGCTTGTGTCACTTACAGGAGGAGGTGCGGCGGCGGTGGCGTGGTGATGCGATGTGGTAGTTGCAGGGCTGGGGTGGGATGTGGTTTTGGACCACGATTGTGCAGGGGTTGGGGTCGGGGAGGGGCCGGTGTGGTCACTGTTAGGGCGGCAGACGACTGCGGTTTCCAGGTGTGGGGTAGGGGTGGTGGCTGAACAGTCGCGATTGCTGTGTTGGCGGTTTAATGACATATTTTCCGGCTTTAGTGACATGTTTTCCCATGATAGTGACACGTTTCTCGGTAATAGTGACATTCATAAGTGACATGAAAATCTGAAAGTGACAAATCATAGTGACGTAAAAATTTAAGGTGACATAAAAATTTACAGTGACATGGTATTCCAAATATATGACCTTGTTAGTCACATTTTTGTCAATATTTGAAAGTGGTCACATTTTTGGAGATTGACTTTAATTTAGTAATATTTAGGTAAAACCCCATAATTATACTAATAATAAATATTAAGCGCATTAATGCAGACACACGTGTAAGCTAGTGTATGATCGAGAAGCCCTACAACGTAACATATAAGAAGTGGGCACATAGTGCCGCTGATGTCTGAAGCTCGCTCGGCTCGAGGGCAGTGTCCCCACGTCCGAGCGAGGGGTCATGAGATGGAAATGTCAATTTCTACTCATATTGATGTGGTATCATTACGTCTTGCTCGTCGAAGGTGCCCTCGGCTAGGCGAGGGCCTAACCGAAATTATGACCATCTTCTTATTGTGACTTATGCCTAGATCTGCTCATGTATCTTGTGACTATATGTGAGTCGTGAGTCTAAATCCATATACCTCTTCAAACAGGTTAATCTTAATTATATTGAGAGCCCTACCTAAAAAAACAAAATAACAAAATAGGTACCAGTAGGTTTTAGGAAAAAATTATTAGTACATATTTTTCTTTTTTCTAAAGGTATATATTTTATATTAAATCAAATCATGTTTTAAGTGCCTCGTTTAAAAAGACTCGGATAAAGTGACAAACAACTTAATATTAATAAAAAGACATGAAAAAAGTGTCACCCAAACTAATAAATAGTCAAATGCTTCATCTCTTTCTCAAAGATAATGAACTAATATAAACCTAGAAACAACATCCTCAAGCAATGGACCTCCAAATTAAAGATGCTTAAACCAATGCATCCATGTTAAACATCCTATGTCCGAAGAAAAACTTGCAAGAGACTAGACTAATTCACTTTGAACCATTGCAAGCAAGTAGCAAGAATCTAGTGAATGCATTCCCAAAGTCTCTTTATTTGGTTGAGACTAAGATGAGAAAACATCATTATGATCATTGCTCTTCATTTACAATTATGTTACGGCTCATTATGTTGGTTATAATATAACAAGTAAAGTATTTAATGTAAAATAAATAACTGCATTAAATGACAACATTTCAGTGCTTTATATTTTTCAGAATTATATCATATATACCTTAATTGCTCAATCACTTGTTTCTCAATTTTATTTTATGTACTTTCTTTCCTTTTTCTCATAGTATCTGTTCTGCACTTCTTTCTCAGAGACCGTTTGTCAATACTTTTTTTCGGCTTATCAGGCTTATCAACCAACTTTTTCACCAAACACGTAATTTTTGCTTTCGCGCACTGAATTATGTAAGAAGTAGAAAAAGTAATGTTGGAGACTACTTGAAGTTACTTTTCTGGCTGTATTGGCTGAAGTTACTGTATATGATCATTTTAGCAATTTTTACATATATTTTTATTTTATTTTATTAATAAAATATATTTTAAAAATATTTTTTTCTTCAATCAGCAGAATCAGCCAATGCAGCCAATTCAACCAGAACTTTATAAATTTCAGCAGAATCAGCTAAATCAGCCGATTTTCATGCTACCAAACGGGCTCTCAATGTACAATTTAATTTATTTATAGTTTAACATTTTATTTTGTGCTTAGGTTCCAACCCAAAAAATAACAAATTGAAACAAATTATGGATAAACGTTTATTATATAAAAGATTACATATTTAAAAATGTACCTTGTATAAAATATCCAACCGGTACCAGAATCTCCTATTTTAATGCCGCTAGAGTAATAACTTAACTATTTGTGCATCATCCATGGACTCATTCAAAGTTGTAACCGTAAAATATATTTCGTCCCGCTATTGTCCCATTTTACTTTATCGGTTCGTCCCACTAAGATTATCCCATACTAAATTTTGTAAAGTTTGTGTGACTCTAATTTATCCTTACTATATTCTTACTTTATGAATTCAATATAAACCACATAAAACACTTTTATTAATTTGTGTGTTGCTCCTTTTGTACCCGGATTTCATCTTTTAATTAAAGCCCAGAATTTCTGCCATTTTTATCTCCCAGTATAAACTCGCCACCCACAATCCGCCATAGAGGAGATCTCTCTCTTGCGTAAAAAAACAGAGTCAAAAACCTCGTTCATACCAATCCAAACAGTGGGTCCACTGTACATTTCGCGAACCTTCACTCCTCGTCTTCGATAGAAGCATCCTGTGATTCGGGTCCTGCAGGATTGTGATCGCCGGAGGGTTGAGCATGACTCAATCGATGTCGGGGCTTTCTCACCTTGATGCTTTACCATCCACGCCGGGGAAGCTGAAGACGGAGAAGAGTAATAACTTCTATCGGCTCCGGTTCTACCCCACCTACTTCCCAAGGTTTACCCTCGGATCTTTCGCCTTAAGCCTCTTTATCCTCCTGTTCCTGTTTTGCTCCCCGCCGGCGAATCCCGGTACTAACCGCCGAAATCTGGCGGACATGGTGGAGCCGTCTCGCACGGCCCATCTCGGCCCGAACTGGGAGCGTCGGGTTCGGGCGTCGGCCCTGCCTAGGTCTAAGAAGGGATTCTCGATCCTCGTGACCGGCGCTGCCGGATTCGTCGGGTCCCACGTCTCCCTCTCGCTGAAGCGGCGGGGAGATGGGGTTCTAGGGATCGACAATTTCAACAGTTACTACGAAATTGGGCTGAAGAGGGCTCGGAAAACCATCCTCGAGCGCTCCGGCGTGTACATCATTGAAGCGGACATAAACGACGGCGTTTTGCTCCGGAAGCTATTCGACGCCGTTGCTTTCACCCATGTTATGCATTTAGCTGCTCAGGCAGGGGTCCGGTACGCAATGCAAAACCCTAGCTCCTACATTCACAGCAACGTAGCAGGTTTCGTGACTCTTCTAGAAGCCTGTAAGGCTGCGAATCCCCAACCCGCCATAGTCTGGGCATCATCTAGCTCTGTTTACGGTTTAAACTCCAAGGTCCCGTTTTCAGAGGACGACATAACGGATCAGCCTGCGAGTCTCTATGCAGCCACGAAGAAGGCTGGCGAGGAGATAGCACACACATATAATTATATCCACGGGCTGTCAATCACGGGGCTGCGATTTTTCACGGTCTACGGGCCTTGGGGAAGGCCTGACATGGCATACTTTAGCTTCACAAAGGATATATTGAGAGGCAAAGAGATCAAGGTATTTGAGACGGCTGATCATGGCTCTGTTGCAAGGGATTTCACATATATCGATGATGTCGTTAAGGGCTGTTTGGGGGCATTAGACACGGCAAAGAAAAGTACGGGTAGCGGTGGGAAGAAGAAGGAGGCAGCGCAGCTGAGGATTTACAATTTGGGGAACACGAACCCGGTGCCTGTTGGGCGGCTAGTGAGCATCTTGGAGAAGTTGTTAAAGGTAAAAGCTAAGAAGAAGGTGCTGGCAATGCCAAGGAATGGTGATGTCCCGTTCACTCATGCCAACATTTCTTTAGCCCAGAGAGAGCTCGGATATAAGCCCACCACTGATCTAGAGACCGGGCTGAAGAAGTTTGTCAAGTGGTATGTCAGTTACTATGGCTCCAAGAAGAGGAGTGCTTGGTGATTTTGTCCCAAGTGAACAAAATGTGTTTTAATTGTTAGCAAGAAGAGGGTTCTGGTTTCAACATCTTTGCCAACTAGGCAAGGGGTCTGGGACTGATATGTTTGCTTTGTCAAGCTTTGCTTGTATATTATTTTGTTAGGAGCACCAAACCTCAGTGACATTATTACTCATTATTAGATTTATTTATTAATAAGTTAAATTTGTGTGGTTTTACTTAGTTTTAATAAGTTTGTAGATACTCCATCCTTTCTATGAAAGAAGTCATAGTTGCTAGGGGTTGTATTTGTTGTCAGGGAGGTATTGGCCCAACCTCATGGATCATCAGTCCAATATGATAGCATCGGCATAACGGCATTGGGCCTGTCTGATGCCCAAGCAGTCCAGCAATCTAGCACAAACTATTGGATCATCAGTCCAGCAACGTCAACAGTCCAATATGTCAGCATCTGCAATGGGCCAGCCTTGATGCCCAACTATTCCAGCATCTAGCCCCGCGGAATTCTGCTATTGCTTTGGCGCTAGACCGCAATGCCATTGTGGTCGATTGAATGTACCGCCTATGCTGACCATTGATGCTTTCAACCATGAATGACACATTGTTTCTGTTGTTTACGGGTCGGTTTTATAGACATCGGTTTTATAGACATCGAGAGTAGCCATCGGCCATGTACTTGACTCGTTCTCTTAGGGATCCTTGTGTGATTCATTTGTTCATTTATTTGTTCGTCTTCTATATTAGGTGTTACAGAAAATTTAACAACATGGATTACCCAAGTAAAAGAGTGAGAAAACAGGTAAAAAGTAGAAAAAGAGGAAGAACGAGATGGATGAAGTATTTATTTATTATCTACATTGTCCCTCTTGATCTCTCGTCTTACATGTATGTACTTAAATAACTGACACCAGTAGGGGCGAGAAAAAATAATACCATTGCTGTCCCAAATTATTATGGTTATTTCTGATTTCTGGTTTAGGAGCTTGACTGAAGTTGAAGTTTATTCTATTATATAGACATATTTAATTTTGTAAATGATTTATGTTTACATCTTTATCATAGATCGATTCATGTTAGCCGCCCCAAATTCTTTTGAGATTAAGGCTTGGATGTTGTTGTATTTATATTTATATCTTTATAAAAACTTCACTATAAGTTTTATACTCCATAAAAAACTAAAAAGAAATTTTAATATGATAAAACTTTGTTATAGAAATTCAAAAAGTAAAAAACAACTACTGGTATGTTGATCACACAAAATAGTAACTAGGATATGTAAAATTAGACCAATTCAGTACTTATTTCATCATTTGAAGACCAACCTTTTTACAATGCTTAGTATATTAGTTTCTCATTCTTGGAAGTTTGATCAATTACTAGAACAAGGAGTTAGAAAAAAGCTGAAGCTATAAGCAAAAGGTTTTCCTGATACATCCAAGTATCAAACCAATTTAGAATGGATGATAAATTTTATCCTATTCATTAAAACAAACTAAAGAAATCCCACGGACAAAAAAAAAATGCATACATATGAGATCTTGTGACAGTAGATGAAATGGTTGATACCTATAAAGATGTCATATTTTTGTGCCTAGATTTTATTATACACACACCATTAATAACACTAAATTACACTCATCCACTCAGAAAATAATAAACTTTAATAAGGGCAATAACGGATTGCACATATAAATAGTTAATCATTGCAACTCAAGAATCTTTATATTTTTCTAAACAAACTTGCGCAAAAAACAATGGACTATGTGTGGGAAATTCAACTCAAATGTAGCGCTTTGGGTATTAAAGGCAAGTGTTCTAGTTGCGGTGTTGTGAAGGAAACATGTATGACACTTTTTCCTTTCTTCTTTTTGACTAAACCTCAAAAGTTGCATGCATTTTGTCAATTTCCCGTTACTTTTGCATACAAAATTGCATAATATTTAATAAAGCCAAACCGTTGAAACGCTTGTCAAAAGTAGCGCAAAAATGAAAGTTAAAAATAGATAGAGAGGGAGGTGCATTGTCTCTGAAAGAATCCAGCAATGAGTACAAGGGATTGACTACAACCAATCTCCAGTGTGTACCAATCCAGAATTTCTGGCCTGCTTTGATAAAAGCATTATCACATCATAATAATAAAAACTTCTAAATGAGTTTATAGTGTTTTCATTCAAAAGCTTTCCTGATCTTGCAGAGAAAAGTGAGGGGGGACAATTTTGATCTGCAGTCCTTGGGAGGAGAGGAGAATCCAAATATGGTTTCCAATTTTGTCTTAAGGTCTCTTATAATTCTTGGGGTTTTCTGTTTACAATGTGTTTGCAAAAATGAAGAAGAGCTTGCAGCTCTTCTGGAGTTGAAGGATGGGCTGGACCCTGAAAATATGGTTCTTGATTCTTGGAAGCCGACTGGAAATCAGTGTAGTGGATCCTTTTTAGGGGTAGCTTGCAATGAACACAATATGGTAACCAACATTTCTCTGCAAACCAGAAGCCTCACCGGGAAGTTGCTGCCTGTGGTGGCGAAGCTCAAGTTTTTGTCTGGCCTCTACTTGCATTACAATAACTTGACTGGGGAGATTCCAAGAGAGATTGGGAATCTAAAGCACTTGACAGATTTGTACCTCAATGTCAATGACTTCTGGGGGAACATACCCCAAGAAATCGGAAACCTCACTAGTTTGAAAGGTATGTATTAATAATGTATGTGTTGTTTCATATACCGAACTGGGATCAGTTGCACAGAGTGTAAACTTATATATTTTTAACTTCTTTTTCGGAGAAATGATAAGCATTGAGAGGAAGAGTAGCTATAGATCCATATGTTAGATTATTAATTTACATTCAATTGATGTGGGCCAAACATTCCAACACGCACTCTCAGCCCACTCCGGATCGGACAAATGAGCCAAATTGTCTCCAAATGGGCGCCCTCCTGAATCCATAAATCAATAGTCCTGACGTTCACCCTTATAAAGTCATTATTGCAGCTAAAATTTTATGTTTTGAACACCTATTTTATATAAACTTCACACACATTGATGCATTAATGAAAGAGTTAAGGAACATGATGAATTTACCCGATTGTCTTTAACAATTTCAATAAATCTTCCACTCGGTAGGTAAGTTCACTTGGAGTATCAGTGGATAACTTTTGTGTTTTGGATTCTAGAATTCAATGGGATGAGGACATTAGTTCTTGGTTGATTAAAAAATAAACTAAAGATTTTTTACTGATTCCATGGAGTTTATTTACTTGTTTTTACCAGTCATTATCGAATACTTTTTGAAGTGTTTTCGTGCTTTGGTTTTTCTAGTGTTGCAGCTTAGTTCTAATCAGTTAACAGGAGGAATACCTGATGAGATAGGGGCGTTGAAGAATGTGGAGGTTCTAGGATTGGAATATAACTTCTTGACTGGACAAATCCCTACAAACTTGGGGAACCAGTCAATGCTAAAACAGGTTTTTCTTGCCTTCAATCACCTCACTGGCGCCATTCCTGATGCATTGGCTAGTGCTCCCAAACTGGAGTCTCTTGATGTTCAAAGTAACAATCTTTCCGGAGCTGCCCCTTTGAGTGAGTTGCATTTATATACCGAGCATTGTTTATTTATTTATCTAATTATTTATTTATTTAAATGTATACTACTAGTAATAATAAAAAAGTAATGATGAATACATGACTTGTATAAAAGTAATGGACAACAATGTAACATTTAAGAGGTAATGACCATGATAGTCTTTTACAAGTGACCATGGTAGTGTTCAAGTTTACAGTGCAATAACTATGATGATATTTTCAAAGTGATTATAGTGATCATGTAATCATAGTTTTGTCCCTAGCTCTATTTAGTATTATTATAGAAAAAACCATATGGTTTATGTTTAGAGTCTGATTTCTTTTTGTCTCTCTTTATGTTTGGGTTCAAATGTGAAGCTTTGAATAAATTCAATGGCACGTTCCATGGAGAGAATAACTTGGGCTTATGCGGTTATGGAATGCCAATGCTGAGAGCTTGCACAGCTTGGGATAATGCAGGCATCATAATTGACCCAGTAGCAGGATCTGGATCTGGCAATAATACACCAACCTCAGGTGGTGCTCCAAAGCCCGCCCCAGTGCCATGCAACCAAAGTCATTGTTCAAATTCATCATCACCATCAGCATCACCATTGATAATCTCTGATGACTCCTCCTCCTCCACCTCCACCTCCACCTCCAAGTTCCGAAAATTTGGCATTACTGTTGGGGCCGTATCTCTTGTTGTTACTTTTTTCGTCATTATGGCAGTTGCCATGTTTCTATATCTGAAGAAACAAAAATTTGAGGACTCATCTAATAAGTCTTATTATGAAGATCAGCAGTCAAAAGAATTGGGCGGTGGAAGAGTTCCATCGACACGTTTGGCGAATGTCGAGTATTCAGGTCAATTGGAGGCGGGGATGAGCCCAAAAAGTGGTAGTTTGGTGGGGGATGATGATAGTTGTTTAGTAGGGTTCAAGTGTTACAACTTGGAAGAGGTTGAATCTGCAACTCAGCATTTCTCATATAACAACTTGTTGGGAAAAAGCAAATTCTCTGCTGTTTATAAAGGAATACTAAAGGATGGATCTCCAGTGGCCATCAAGAGCATAAATGTGACAGCTTGCAAGTCTGACCAGTCTGAGTTCATGAAAGGGCTGAGTGTTCTGATGTCTCTCAAACACGATAACCTTGTCGAGCTGAAGGGTTTCTGCTGCTCAAAAGCAAGAGGCGAATACTTTTTGGTCTTTAATTTTATTTCTAATGGTAAGTTGGCATTGTACCTTGATGGCCAACGAGAGGATAACAGCGGACGATTTCTCAACTGGCCTAAAAGAGTATCTATCATCAAAGGCATTGCGAGAGGTTTAGTTTTTTACTCACTTTTGTTTATTGATATGCATTTGTGTGTATTAAGACTTGGATTCAATCTAGAAAAGTAAGATTTAATAAAAGGAGTAATCCAATGCCTCAAATGTAAACTTATATGTTGAAAAAGTTGTTCCAAAGTGTCCAAATATGAAACAACAAACAAAAATATTAGATCATGTACTTCTTATCAGGTAGGCTGTTTAATATGAAACTTCAATTCTTTAAATGTAACTGATTTGTACCATAGTCATGAAGCGCCCCCCAATGAAAAAAGCACATCAGGACGTGGTATTGGTTTAGAGGGGTGCTGAAGAGTGAAGAGTTCTTTTCAAGCTTAATATATACGTAGTACTACGTATGAAATAAAAACTAACATATCAAATTTTGAGCTACTCTTGTAATTAAAAGGAACTTTGTAGGATTGAAATCCGAAGTCTCAATAATATATTTTTGTGTTTGAACAAAGTGAAGTCACTTAAAATTTCCCATTGAACAGGTCTAGTGTATCTGCACAATGCAGAAGCAGCCAACAAAACTGTCATGGTTCACCAGAACATATCAGTGGAGAAGATCCTTCTTGATGCAGATTTCAACCCACTCATATCAGATTCAGGCCTTTTAAAGCTCTTTGCAGATGATGTTGTCTATTCTGCCATCAAGGTCAGTGCGGGTCTTGGGTACATGGCTCCAGAGTATATCACCACTGGTCGCTTCACGCAAAAGAGTGATGTTTATGCATTTGGAGTCATCATCCTTCAAGTGCTATCAGGGAAATGTGTGCTGATGAACTCAGCCAGACAGCTGGCAGAGTCTGGCAATGTTGCAGATTTGATTGATCCTGTTTTGAAAGGAAGGTTCTTTGAAACTGAAGCTGCTAAGCTAATCAAAGTTGCACTAAATTGCACAGATGAGATTCCTGGACAACGGCCATCCATGGCTGAGGCTCTCGATGAGCTCAACCGACCCTGCCCCTCCTCTGATTGACCAACGTTGTAATGTCTTCGGCCCGTATTGCTATGCATGGTGCCTTGAAGCCTTTTCATTGAGTCATAGAGCTCTTACTCTCTTCTCACACTCAAGATTTATTACCACTTATAAATCTTTGTAAATAATCGAAGTGGTGCTATACAAATATACTATGCTGCTATGCAGAATTTTCCTTTCTGACATGTTACTTTTATAGTTTATACAGTATATCTATTTCTCTTAGTTACTTCTAAACTGTAATCATGGCTCCATCCATTCTCTATCTTAGCCTGAATATACGTTTTGGTTCCACATATCATCTCTATATTAGTTGTGATGGGTATAATTATCTGATTAACCGACGGGTTCAATGACTCAGTTCAATGCAGACCAAAAGTAATGCTTTGGGTGACTAAGCATAAGGAAAACTGAAGCTTGGATTATCCAAACAAGGCACAATGGTCAATAACATCTTACACTTGTATCCTTAATTAATTATTATTGTGTAATATCTAATCTTGATAATTTTTATTTTGTCTTGTAATTAATGATTTACTTGGTGGGAGGTCTCTATAAATAAGCAGCTCTAGCCTGAGGCATGTATCTTCATTTTACTATTACTTCCTTACCGAGGCATAAAAAATTCTACCTGTCTATTCTTACGGACAACATATTCATGTTTTCCTTAATGTTGTTCTTATTGTTAGTTTGTTATTACGTAACAAACTAACACAAAGAAATCAATAAAAATGTTCAATATTGACACCTCTGAGACCAAGCTTATCTCTCATGTCAAGGCCGCGGCCTGTCGACGCCCAGGGTGAGCCAGTCCTGGGGCAGGGGCAAGTGAGCTTGTGTCAACACACATACCAATAAGATGTTTTTTCGTTTAGACTGAAATTCCCTTGTTCCGTAATTCTATAAAGTTATGGTAGTATGTGTAATTTATTAGTGTCCATCTGATCTGGTCTTTTAAATTCTGATAAGTATTGTCCAGTCTCAAAACATACACAATAGATAATTAGATATGCACAATAAATTCTGATTCATAAATGTATAAGTCACTTGATTTGTGAATAGGTTCTTCACAACTTTCTATTGCTAAGAAGTTTCTTTCCATAGTTGCAATTGCGATTATCCCAAGTCAACAAACATCATTATGTACTTGAAAACCTACAATATAATAAGAGGGACCATATAAATATATAGCTTTGAAGCTAAATAAATTGTCACTTTCCCTGAGTTAAATTTTAGGAAAATCGAGCAAACAAATAGTAGCCATTTGAATCAATCTTTTGATGTTAACAAAGAATCAAATTACCTAGATTGACTTGAGCATTACACACAGTCATAAAGTAGCAACTTTGTACTGATATGATGATATCAGTGAATTTATTGTTGAACTTCATAAATTGTATCTTTTTACTGTCCATAAATAAATTGTGTTTATAACATATGTAATACGGAGTATGTAATAATAGAGCAAGGTGATATTCACTCATTTACTTGGGTAAAAAACGAGATAAGACAAATAAGACTTAAATAAATATGAAATTAAACAAATTAAGACGTACTCCGCAGTAAATTATGCTTTATAAACTTTTTTGGTGAATATCTCCTTGTAAAGTTTTAGATGTCGTGCTATACATCGTTATTGTTACAATATAACTTGTACGTGTGCACTTGACTAATCACGTAAGCATTTGCAGTAAAGTTAAGTGATTAGGTATAACATCTTCATTTGTTATTAATAATGTTATATTTAATAATTGTCTTTACTCAAGCTAGTAGTTCATTTTGACTAATTAACTTTCTCTGGCAAAACCAATGTTCTAATAGTAAGTTTTTAGTTTTATAATTGCAAGCAAGTCTTCCAAATGAATGGTTAGAGATGCTCCAATATACGTAGTATTCAATTAACCATGTACGGAGTATTTGCAGTCGTGTCAATTAAACAGTTCTGCACTTATCTATACGTCCATTTATAACCGTCATTGTCTTAAAATTATGGCCACTAATTGTACTGCTGCATGCAATTCCTTCCATTACATTTTTTTTTGATAATCCAGGTGTCAGGGCTTACGCTCTCATAATCCTGGAGTCTATGATCACAGTCAGCCTCGTCAATACTGGCTCCAAAGGACGAATCCAGCAGGACTTACATCACCTTTCAGGCTGCTCCTCCCACCACACGAACCCGCTACCTTCATTACCATCCTCTCCCTTCTCAGCCGCTGAGCAACTCCGTGAAGATAGGGAAAATCATTGGGAGCAAGACCTCCCTCATCTCCCTTGGTGGGAATTGAACCCAAGACCTCCCACAAAGGAGAGACTTGGGGGGTGGATGGTCATCCATTGGACTACACCCACCTTCCCCCATTACATATTGATATACGGAGTATAGTTTAAGGATACCTTATTTATGTACTACTAGACTACTAGGTTTAAGCTCATTAAATGATGCTTCGACAACATACATTAAATCCAAAATGAAACTTGATGTTTTTTTAATTTTTAATGGAAGCAACTCTCCAAAAAACAATATGGACTCATTCGGTAACACTGAAATTGGTTGTAATGACTACTGAATATGCAGAAATTTATGAAATTATGGCAGGAATAGCTGAGTTGGATGAATCTGCTGAATTATGAAAAAAATTATATAGTATTTAACATACTCTGTATATCTTATTAATAAAATTGAGAAAAAATTACATGAAAAATAGCTATACTGTTTTTCAATTTCAATTTAATGAATCTGATTTTCCTTGCTTGACCAAATCTGTTTCTAATCCTGAGTCTAAGTCTGATAATACTCCTAGTGAGGTGGAGTCTATCCCTGTTGATGTTAGTCCTTTATCTGTTGATCCTGTTATTAATGATGAAACTGTTTTGCATGATAATGATTCCTCTGAGCATGATAGTCCCACCACCTCTAGTGAGGTGGAGCATTCGCATGATGTTGAGCATGAATTGCATGATATGGGTGTGGAATCTAATTTTCATGATAACAGTAATTTGCATGAGTTGCATGTGGAGCCTAGTAATGTTGATTTGGATAATTATCAACTTGCTAGAGATAGAAGTAGAAGGACCATCAGGAGAACTGCTGATAGTATGTCTGATTATGCTTTCATTGTGCATGATACTTCTATGTTTGCATTTTCTATGTTTGAATCCCTAGAGCTGGATGAACCCAAGACCTACCGTGAAACCTTAGGTTCCAAAGAGTCTTAGGAATGGATTAGTGCCATGAAGAGTGAGATGGAGTCTTTGAGAGTGAACCAAACTTGGACGTTTGTACCTAGACCCCCCAACTGTTCGGTAGTTGAGTGTAAGTGGTTGTTCAAGGTTAAGGAAGAACCTAATGATGTTAGGTTTAAGGCTAGGTTAGTTGCTAAAGGGTTTACTCAAAAAGAGGGGGTAGATTATGCTGAGATATTTGTTCATGTGGTCAAGTTTACTACTGTTAGAATTATGCTTGCTCTTGTTGCTCAATTTGATGGGGAAATGAAGCAGATGAATGTGACCACTGCTTTCTTGCATGGTGATCTTGATAAAAAGATTTATATGACCCAACCTGAAGGATTTGTGGATCCCAAGAAAAGTGATTTTGTATGTTTGCTAAGGAAGACCTTGTATGGTCTCAAGCAGTCTCCTAGGCAATGGAACATTATGTTTGATCAATGCATGAAATCCATGAAATTTGTTAAGTCTGCATGTGATCATTGTTTGTACTATAAGAATATTTCTTCTGTGCCTATATTCTTATTGCTCTATGTGGATGATATGTTAATTATCAGTCCTTGCCTTAAGTCCATTGTTCATGTGCAAAAATGCCTAAGTGAAAGTTTTTCCATGAAAGACCTAGGGGATGCAAAAAGGATCCTAGGCATAAATACTATTAGGGATAGGAGAAAATCTACTCTTGTTTTAAACCAAGTTTCTTATGTGGAAAAAGTTTTGAGTAAATTTAATATGTTATCTGCTTCTCCTGTGAATGTCCATATGCCTTCTCACTTTGTGTTAAGTAAGGACCAGTCTCCCAAGACTGCTCCTGAAGTTGAGAAAATGAAATATGTGCTTTATTCCAGCGCAATAGGGTCGGTTATGTATCTTATGGTTAGCACTAGGCCTGACATTGCTTATGCGGTTAGTTGCTTGAGTAGATATATGTCCAACCATGGTTTGCTCCATTGGAATGCTCTTAAGTGGTTACTTAGACATTTGATATCTACTGTGAAGCATGGATTAAGTTTCTCCAAGTGTAATAGTGGTATTCAGCTTGTTGGTTATGTTGATTCTAAGTATGCAAACGATAGAGATAACAGGAAGTCAACTACTTCTTATGTTTTTCCTTTGTGTGGCTTTTGCAAAAGTTGGAAGTCTCAACTGCAACCCATTGTGGCTCTTTTTACAATCGAATCTGAATACGTTGCAGCCACATTAGCGTTCAAGGAAGCCATTTGGCTCAAACGCCTTGTCTCCAAGATTGAGTTTCTCAAACAGGGAGTTGCCATTTTCTCGGATAGCCAATCGGCTATCCAACTTTGTAAAAATCCTGTATTTCATGATAGAACTAAACATATTGATGTTAGGTTCCATTTCATATGTGATATTGTTGATGCAGGTGGAGTCCAGCTGTGCAAGATCCCATCCGAGTTTAACCAATATGGGTACCAAGTGTCTTTCTGCTGAGAAACATTTGTCCTGTAAATGTGTGTTAAACTTTGACTGTGGATAAATGTGGGTTGCGTAATAATTGTTTGCCCGTTTTATCTTTTTTGATATTTCGGGTGACCCGGCGATGATGAGTCTCCTCACAACCTTGTTTGTTACTCTACATCACCTAGGACCAATAAGGTGGAGAATGTTGGAGGTGTTGCTCCTACCAATGTCTCCCTTCCACTTTATTTGCTAAGGCTTACACCCTATGTTTTACTCCCACTTTGATACCTTATTTGTCCTGGTATATAATCTGATCAATTATATACCTGTTTGAGTGTTGACTTATCTTATCTGGCTTTGACCCCCCTTGAGTTGTGCACTGCAATACTTTGTTTGTCTTGCTCTCACCCGTGACTTCCTTTCTCTGACTGTTGTCTATTATTTAGAAGGCTTTGCCTTCTTCCTGGAGGAATAGCCTGCGTGAGAAACCTGAGAGAACAAACTACTCTCTTCTTCTCCTTTCCTTTGTGTGAGAGTGTGAGATAGAGGTCCTTAGTGGGAGAGAAAACATGGGAGATGGAGTAGCTGGCCCTAGAGTGGTGTGTGTGAGCCATTGACGGAGGTTGGAGACTTGACCCGGAGACTGATCGATCCCTTACATATCTTATTAATAAAATTGAGAAAAAATTACATGAAAAATAGCTAAACTTGTCCTCTATATTCGTCTTAACAAATTTAGTCAGAACAATAAATTTAACTTTACGTATTTTGATTATTATACAATTGACTTCGATTAATAATGCCGATAACCTGAAAATAGTAATCACCTCTAAGTCTAAGTTGTTTGGTGGCTCACCTTGCGGTTACGTCACATATTTCGACCACATCTTATGTTTCAAATCTCACAAAGTTAATTTGGATCATCCGCTAATATTAATTGTAGAAATTACTCCAAATATGACTAAAACTATGAAAAAAACTCAAAATAAGATTTGCTAAGTTTTTTCCCAAAACAGGACCATATTAGTCCTATTGGAAACATACCTATTTTTCATTCTATTTTTACCCTTCCTTTAAATATTAGTCAAAAGTCATAATTAAATGTTTAATTCATAATAAATTCGAAAAATTTTCAAAAAATCGTAGAAAAATAATTGAAAAAATATAAAATATTTACTCGTATAAAATAAAAAATTCAAAAAATTTATTATTTATTAAATTTAAAAATAAAAAAAAATAGTAAAACTCCATAAAAAATCTAAAAAAATATAGATGCCTTTCCCACCGCGTGTACTACCCCCCTGCACCACCACCTCCGGCCGGTGAAAAAATGCATTTTTTATTAAAAACTGCCATTTTTTCCAGAAAATGCCAAAAATGACATATTTCTCTTTGAGAATCCCAACATTTTCATTGTTTTCTGCCATAAATATGGCATTCGTAATGAATTTGGCATTTCCCCCCTGATTTCTGGAGGTGGTGGTGTTGAGGCGGCAGTGAAAAAAAATTAAATTATTATTATCGAAATACTTTTATTAATTTTTTAGTATTTTTACGAATTGTTATTATTTTTTATTATTTTATTATGAATTAAAAAATTTCAGTAGCTATACGTGTATATTTGTCCAAGACACACATAATTAGTCCTATGAAAATATAATTTATTTTTTGGTCATATTTATGAAAAGTAGGTAATTTGATGTCTTGCAATATCATGTTAGATGACTCCATGTTTCATTTTGGTATCCAACCACCTATGCATTGATCAATTTTAATGTCGTTTCCTTCGCCACCGCTCTAGTTAATTACCTTTAAGAAAGAATGCCTTAATTAGTCGATCTCTAATACCCCAACCGGCGGCACTTTTATGATTGATCTCTTGACTAGCGCAGCTATGTGTTAATAATTTAGTGAAAATTTACCAACTGACGTGCACTCGTCGTTATGTGCACTCAAAATAATTAATCAATACGACACTAATACGTAGTATAGTGTAGTAAGGTTCGTATCCACAGGGAAATGAATACTTTTCTTTTAAATAGTAACAAAAGGGGGGTTTAGATTTGTTTGGTTTAATAATACTAAAATAAACGACCTATATGAGTTTAATTCAATGAGATGAAGACTTGGTTTTGCTTCTATCCACTTAATGAAATGTTCGTCGATCCCGGTTATATCTTTAACTATCTTCCTCTCGAATACTCAATCGAGGAGTATATCCAGTTCATCGAGGGTAGTTATTAATAACGAGATGCGTTCATTAATAAAACTTACTATCGAGTCAATATAGAACAAGCGCCGTATATTAACTTGATAGTAGCAATAAACTTAAGATGAAAACGATTGAGATTGATAACCTCAACACAAGCGGTTTATCGGTTTAATCAATATAATTAATTCCCCTTGGCATATTAACCATGAGATGCATGCATTAATATTCCAAGTTTACTACCGTTGAAAGAACCGGATTAATAACAAGCGTATTAACCGATTGATTCTAGTAATAATTAATATGAGAAACAATACTAGTTGATACTTTAAGTAATGTTTAAGATATTAACATGAAATATGAATAGGAATGAATTACTACTCAAGGAAGAATATTAAAATATATGAATCCTACTATGATTAATATCAAGATGTTAACTAATTGTCATCTTAGTAACACTCCCCAATATTATCATAGAGGAAGAAATAGCTATTACTATAACCAATGTCAAGATGTTAACTAATTGTCATCTTAGTAACACTCCCCAACTTTGATATAGAGATAGTATTTTGAAAGAAAGAATTAATATTCAAGGAAGAAGATTAAAGAAAATAACTCACAACTTACAAATTCATCAAGCTTCAAAGTAGCAAAACCAAGATGGAAGAGTTTAGCTCCTCATTTGGAGACTAAACATGATGAAAAATATAAAGAAAGAGCTATTCTATACTGAGCTTAGATGTACAAAGGGATTGGATATCTTTTTGTGAAGGAAAGGAGGTGTATTTATAGGTTTTTGGGATGAGATTTGGGTACTCGATCGGGTATATACATGGTACCCGATCGAGTACGTGTGTAACACTCGATCCGAGGCATACTCGACCGGTTTCAGGCTATTTTCTAAGTGTATACCCGATCGAGTACATATGAATACCCGGTCGAGTATGCTTAGAAAGTGGTATTCGGGCTATACTCGACCGATCTTCGTTTGCAATTCAAAGGCATACCCGATCGGGTATGTCGGTCTACCCGATCGGGTATAGACATAAAATCGTGGCCAAAATCTTCCCTGCATGTTCCCTTGTCTTCGGATCTGATCCGATTTGAAGTTCCAACCTAATACCCGATCGAGTATAGCTAATACTCGACCGAGTATAGGCCAAAATTCAGGATCTTCTTTTGTCTTTGAACTTTTGCACTTTCTTTTCACTTTTTGGGTTCACCAACTGTACTTCGAGTGACCAAAACCTGCTTGAGCTCAGAATATATCTAATCTAACCTATTTACAAGAATTTAACAATCTAATCTATTTACACCAAAAGTGTGTAATTTCCAAAGTAAAAGTCAAGCAAAACTAATTAAAAACGTAAACATAAATATGGAAATTACGAACGTATCACCAACTTTTCCATTAATGTCACTTATTATAATTACCCATTTTCCTGGCCCCCTATCAACAAGATCTATAAATGAGTATATCCTACGAACATTTTAATTTTTGGGGTAATTTATTTTTGAGCTTTAAATTTATATATGTAGTAAAATTTTGCACTATTTTAAACAATTTTGAAACAAATTTAACCATTTTCAATTAGACGTTATTTGAAAAGTTTTGAAGTCAAATGAAAACTTAAAATCGATATCTATGGAGTGTAATTGTACTCCGTTTTGGGTAAGAGAAAGTATTATTTTTAGAGGGCCGGTCTTGCAAACATGCATAATATCATACACTTAGATCATCATAGTTACAAAGTTACTAGTAAATATTCATTAAATTCCATGTTAAAGCATTAAAGATCTCTATTATCATACACTAAGATCATACTTACAAAGTCACAAGTAAATATTCAATTCATTAAACTCCCTATTAATATTGCACATTTATCATTTTTCTTAAAACTATTGATTGATTTTGGACAGAAAATATGTACTAGGGCTAGAAGACATAGAAAACTATTAACAAACTGCCTTTCACTCATCACTTCAATTATTGTGCTTTAATTATTATTTTTGAATATATGCCAACAGTAATTTTACATGCACCATGTTGATTCTGCAAAAAGGAATTCCTGATTAATGTAAGCACTGTTATTATTATGTCTATAATAATCTTTCGATCTAATTGAAAATGAAGATTTAGGTTCTAACAAAACGAGAATAAATGACACATTTCTTTTCTAAAAGAATAAAACATGAATATAATTTAATTTGGTGTGGAAAAATTAAAGGACAATAACTTTATTGAAGGTGCTGAGGGAGCACACCTATATATCTAAATTAAAGTCTAAACCTAAAGAAATAATCAAATAACAACTAAACTAAATAAATAAATTCCATGCATCATCTAAACTACATTTGATGTAATGAGCTTAAACCATTGACTCTGAGGGTTCCTCAAGTCACCCTCTTCCAAACCAAGGCACTTCCTTGTCAAAAGCATGGAGGTAGAATAGGATGAATTAAAATCCAAGCACAACTCCAAACCACTGTCATTATCCTTGCTCTTGAACTGGAACATAGAATCAGAAGCAGCCAACCTCCACTTATTAGTACTAATCTGATCCTTGTCATCATCTTTGCAGGCGTGGGAGAGGGCGACCGGGATATCTTCGCCTACCATCGTCACGCATTTAGAAGATTCGATCATCTTTATCGGCGTCCCGTCTGCCTCGTGGGCGCATCGGCTTGCCCCTAAGCAATTGCTCATCTGGATTTGATCCCCAACCACTCGTGCACATTGCCCGGTCAATGGATGGTAAAGTAACTGATATGTTGGCTTGCTCAACTTTGGATCTATGAGTTTATGTTGCAGAAACTGTAATTTGGAGAGGAATTCAGGGTTTCTAACAGCAGTCCAATTGGTATTGAACATGCCATAGCTCTCATCATGACCATGCTGACCATCCCTAAGGTAATAGCTTCCCTGGAGAGTCCAAACACTCCATTCCAAGTCCAAATCAGCCAAATAAGAAAGCATGCAAGGAAGGTGAAGATTGTCAGCAGCTGCTCCATTGCTATCTCCCATTTGGTTTATACCAAACTCACTCACAAAAAGAGGGGCAACATTCATATTGTTGTTGTTATTTCTTCCTCCCCTGACCAGGAACCCCTCTTTCTCATCCATTTCCTTGGTCACATTGAGGCAAACCTTGTTCAAAGGTCCATTCAACCATGCCTTTGACTGCCCTTCAGTGAAGGCGTATCTATGAGTCTCATAAACAACCTTGTTCTTCATCATGTTCAGATTCAAAGGCCTTTTCTTCAAGAAAGTGAAGTCCAAATCGTAGTCTAGTCCGGAAATGATGACAAGAAGATCAGGGTTTTCTTTGTTGATTGTTTTAGCACCCTTCTCTACGTACTTATACCATACGCTCACGTTCTGTAATGGTCCACGTAGCTCATTGCGCAAGCTTATCCCTACAACCTTTTGCATGCAAACGATCACGTTACACAATATTCTTGCAAGATAATTAGTTTTTTTTTATCAAACTATGACCTTATGGAATGATTTCGAGATAATATTTATTTATAGATCCACTCTATAAGTCTATAACTGATACTACGTAATTCATTCTGTATTAAGGTAATGTACATAAAAATAAAGAATATATTGGATCATCAACGAATTGAAAAAGAAACAACGTACGTAACATTGTATGTATTACGCACTAATCACACCGTAATTAACATGCAAACTAATACTTCGTATATAGTTTCATTTCAACAACGAGATAGCAAATTAAAGTTCTAGGTTCTTTAATTTGTTAAACACACTTTTGAAATATGGGATATTTTATTTCATTTTAATCAAACATTATATTTATAGTGATGAGACGGCATGATTAATTTGTGTAGTGAGTAGAGGTTGGTTGGATCACAAACAATCAATGAATCATAAACATATATTATAACTAACAACACAGCCAACACTTCGAGTTTTTTCTATAAATTACTAAAACTGATCGAATTCATTAAAATTAAAATATATTTACAATCACAAGGTTGGTCGATCGCCTCACCGACCTCAACCACTACACTATATTGTTCATGAATTATTATCATTTAATAGTGAATTATTATAATTTAATAGGATGTTTATTATTATTTATTACTAGTACGTATTTATATGTCGTATTTATAGCGAATTTCATTTTTTCTGTTTTCCCTTCTAATTGACACTCCCGTTTAAAAACCCCGTTTTAACTCTTGGAGTAAGTTCTCAAAAAAAAAACTTGGAGTAAAAACTTGAAATTGTTGACTTTAATTTGGCCGTTAATTATATAATGAATAAATAATACGTAGTTACATTTTTTTAACACTGTCTCGATACAGTACATACATTTGAAACATTTTTTATTATACACTTTATAAAAATAAATTTGTAAATAATATTGATCAAAGATAGATGAACATTAAAGATCAGATCTCAAAAGTCAAAACCGAAACGTTAAATTATAATGACATAGTAAAGCTAAAGCATAGTAGTATATACAAGTGCAGCATACCAAGGGTAAATTCTTGGAGTGCTTAGCAGCAAGAGCAAGTCCTTGTAACCATTCATCAGAGTCAAAATCTTTACTGCCAAAGAAGCCATTCCCATCATTGTCAGCACAACACCACATTGGCTTGCTAACATGGTTGTCCAAGACCATCATGATCCCATGTTTCCCGATTTCTTGAATCACGGCCTTGCGAGCGTCGAGCAAATTGAGGCTCAAAAGGTTCGGGTTGTTGCGGGCGATACCCGTGATCGCTTCGGTCAGGCCGAGGTCAGTGAACATCTCGACCACGGTCCGGTTCGCGTGGCGGGTGAACATGTGTGTGGCCCATGTGAGCCTCACACAGTTGAAACCCATAGCGGCCACGTCGGAGGCCAGCTCGCTTAACGGCCTCCGATCTAGGCCCTCGGGTAACATGGGTTCTAAGTGTCCGGGCCAACTAGCACAAGCCAACTTCACTCTCTCCCCGGTTTTGTCATCCACAATCCATCTTGAGCTTGTGGAAAGTGGTTGAGAGGAAGATAGGGAAGCAAATGAAAGAAGCAAAGCTAAGGCTATTACTCTTAGTATTGGTTTCATGATTATTGTTGGTTGATGGAAAAAACAAGGCCGGTTGAAGGTGGATCAACTGGATTGTACAATGGGGTATTTAAACTAGTAAGTGGCGCGGTAAATAAATAAATTACGTATAAATCTCAAACTCTTCAAGTTAATTGAATGTTTTTGAATTTTGATATTATCATTATGATCATACAAATAAATTAACCGTGGGGTCATTATTTTACTCCGTACTAAGGGCGGGTTGTTTTGTTTTCGATAATCTTATCATTATATTATTGGTTTATTATTTATTTGTTTTAGATAATCATCTTCGTTTTATTTCGGAGATATCAAAACGGAATTAATTAGATTATCATTATCCACGTTGCATTATCTTGCGGGTACGTAGAAAAGGTAATGAATAGGTCGTGTATAGGTAGGACTCTGAAGTTAATATAATTAAAATTGAAATTTGAATGAGAATAGCTGTTTAATTAATTTAATCAGTTAATTATATAGAGGTGTTAATTTGACTTGAGAGTTCAGGAGAGCATTTGGTTGAAGGGTGTTGAAAAGCTATTTCTAAATGTTTCATCGTAGTCTCAATTTCTTTTAATTTTTGAGACTTTAATCCTATCGGAAAAACATTTTAAAAAACAATAAAAATTGCACACATCAATAGAGTGAATTAAATAAAGGTATTTGAGTCCATAAATGTGTACATGATAGAATTTGACCTCTCTGATCTATAATAAACGATAATTCAAAGTATAGCTAACTAACTGTAAGGATAATAATCACATTAAAATATTCAATAAATAATACTAATAATAAAAGTAGATCATATACTACGTATGCTGCAAGAAATACCCGAGTGGGTACATAGTTGGGACGCTAATCGAGGCCATACTCTACATCAGATACATGTACTTGCATGTTGCAAGTTTGAACATCGGCTCAGATATTTTAAAGTATACTTCTACCCAACGATAAACCAAACAGATCTTTCTCTGCACTCAAATTATTTTTAGAAAAAAAAATACATATTCAAAAATTACATTAAAAGCTTTACAAAGTCGCAAAATCAGAATAAAATTTGATAAAATTTTGATACGTAAAGTAAAAGGTTAAGAGTGATTTGTGTTGACCAATAATTGAATAGGAACTGAGAAGATAATAGGGGGACGGAGGGAGTAGTTTACTATGTGTAACACTGATTTTGAAATTTTAAACACAAGTGAGTTCTAAAATATTGATGGAGTATATGGGTCTAGGCCCCAGGACCCACATATTCAGAAGAACAGAAAGCACAACCACTACGCGGTGCCCTCGTCGGCCAAAGACCCTCGTCGGCCGAAGAAGGACCAACTCAGAATATGATCCTGAAGCCAGGGAACCAGGGTGTCCTCATCGGCCGTGCCCTCATCGGCCAAGACCCTCATCGGCCACGGAAGTCTCACAGAACCGGATTTTACACTTATTCATTTATATAGCCCACCAGTGGCTCTGTATTCGGCCCAATAGCGGTCCAGTTGGAAATGGGCCTCCCAAGCCCTAGGCTTGGGAGCCCAGACCGTATTTTTCCTATAAATACTTCCTCTGGAGGTAGTTATAGGGGTTACAAAATCATTCTATTGAAGCATTACTTGCACTTCTCTCTCTAGCTCTCACTTCTCTCTAGATATATACTCTATCAAATATTATTAAAATATGGAGTAAAATTTAAGGAGAAATATATTATTAAAATAAGGGAAAATTCCCGAAATAGGAGTAAAAAATTTTGAAAATTCCAAAATAGGACTGACATGTTTTTATTCACAAAATAGGAGTAATTACTGCCAAGTTTAGAAAATACTGTCATGTTTAAAGTATGCTACTGCCAAAACATGGCAGTAAGTAGTCATCTTTTGGGAATAAAAACATGATAGTCCTAGTCTGTTTAGGAATATACAAACATTTTTAGTCCTATTTTGGGTAATTTCTCTTAAAGTAATATAAATATACTTTTATATTCATTACGCTTTATAATTATTCATAATGACCAAAAGTCACTAAGACTATGTTTGGCACAACGAGCTGCAACTAGAGGCTATGTCTGAATTAGAGACTATTGTCTGAATTAGAGAATACTCTTTGGAGCTGAACTTTGAAGTGCTGAATCTGAATTATTAGCTGAATGAATTGAAGTAAACTCGTTTGGCAAAAATAGCTAGAAAGGCGGGTGAAAATTTTAAAATTACTTAAAAGGACATACTACGTATAAAATATAGCAAAAATACTTATTATTATATACACACATGTGTATATATATGCATTAGCTTCTAAATTTTAATTTGTATAGTTAATTCCTATCAAATAAAGAAGGCAATAACAATCGAAGAATCCTGAATTCCAGAGAAGTATATTTGACATATTCCCATCAATTTAGATAGTCGTATTACAAATGAACGATCGATCGCTTTGTACAACATAACAAAGAGTAAACAGGTGTTAGTTTTTGGCGTTGTTCCTCTTACGATTGAGTGTGTCTTTCATGCTCCTCCTCAATTTATAATTTTTTTATGACAAGAAACTCCAAATAAATTGTTGTTCCACAAACTCCAAATAATGTGTTCTTCAGGGTTTCATTTTTCTGTAACCCTTGTTAGTACCAAATACCCAATCCATATCATTTATTCAAATACAACAGTCGATGCTGCAACCATGGTGAACGATGAAGGATAAGAAGGACCCTTGAGCTCGCTAGCGACGGGGTTGTAGGCTTGTTTATCAATCGACGGAGAAGGATATCTTGGGAATATAAAGTCTGAAAATGATCGTCTGATTACTAACGCTATCTATCCTAACGTTTTGATTCAGTCCATTTATTCTAGCTCTAGCCTTGTTTAGCTCTTCAAACAAACGAGGCTAGTTTAAAAATATTGACCGAATTTCATAAATTTCAGCCCCTTTTGAGCTGAATAGGCATGCGGAACATAGTCTAAGTCATATTTTATTCCCTAGCATATATTAATCATATACTCCATATTAATATTTCTTTATATTTCAACATTTCTTGATCATATGTTGCTTTTTCTAGCTTACATTCTATAGATTACCCGTGTCAAATCTTCTAAGAAAATTAATGATTTAGCAGTCTGTATACCATACAACCGCCACACTATGAGCATGCTACACCCGCCACCAATACGACGTCCTTCCCGCAGTTCGTATACCATATGACCGTCCCATGGTGCGTATGATATTCCATCCCAAATTGCATTGTGTATTATTGTTTATTTCTCTTTTTAAAAAAAATGGTAATAACTTTTTTATTTTTGATCCGATTTTTATAAAATTTATATCAACATTTTTTATTTTTCATAATCTTTCAAATGAGACCAATATTACCAATGTAATTTTAACATATTATCGAACTATTATATTAACCTATGTAAAATATGTAATTTTACGTGTAGAAATATGTAACTCAAGTCCAGTCAGGCCAAATGCAACTCGTGTGTATAAATATGTAACTGTACGTGTAAAAATATGTAACTTTACGTGTAATAATATGTAACACGCGTTCAGACAGGTCAAATACAACTCTTGTGTATAAATATGAAACTCACGTGTATAAATATGTAACTTTACATGTAAAAATATGTAATTTTACGTGTAAAAATATGTAACTCGTGTTCAGGCAGGCCAAATGCAACCCGTGTGTATATATGTAACTTTACGTGTAAAAATATGCAATTTTACGTATAAAAATATGTAACTCACATGTATAAATACATAATACGATAAAATTTTAATATACACAATTTTAAGATAAATTGTGATTTATACAATTATTTTTCTGTATTAAATTTAGTTCAATTTTCCTTATAATCCAGTACTCATTAATATAATAGTTCGATAATTTCTTAAAATTGCATAAGCAATATTTGTCTCATTTGATAGATAATGAAAAATAAAAAATAATAATATAAAATTTATAAAAATCGGATATGAAATAAAAAAGTTATTACAATTTTTAACAACAAAAGGAATAAAAAAATAAAGAAGTCCGTTACGGTGCTTGCCAAAAATAAAGACCGGTATACGATGCTCACCGTATACCGGTCATATGGTATAATCTGCTATGCTTTAGTTCTACTATGATTCAATCAAGATCTTTTCTCAAATACTATATGATGCTATCATGCTACTAATATTTTATATTATTATTTATATAATTGGTGGAAAATTAATCAATTAAGTAGTGCATAAATGAATTTCTGTACTAGGCTTAGTCAGGGTTAATAGGTTGAGTCAGGATGGTTCATAATGGTCCGGGTTGGGCTTCAAATACTCTCTACCCATGCCCATCTTAAATAGTGTACCGGACTGGCCTGTGACCCATGTAGGGCCGGGCTTCTAAGCAAATGGAATAGGATGGACAGCCCTCACAAGCCCATGAGCCCACAAGCTAAATTATGATCCCTATATAGAATGTTTTTTTTTTGGACTGAAATTTGCATTCTGGCCCGGTCTGATCTGGTCTGGTCTGGTATGATAAATGTATGGTCTCTATGTATTTTATAACTACGGAATTCTGGTGTGGTCTGGTCTGGTCTTGTCTGATCTAGTCTGGTCTCGGACTGAAAACAATCCAAAAGAAAACATCCATACACCTAGAGTAGCATACTTACACGCTACAAAGTACTAAACATATAAATTGTTAAATGTTTGTCCCACTTTGGATTTGCTTAAATAATAAATTACCCTCTCCGTCCAATTTAAAGGTTCACATCGACTATTTTCCAGTCAACGTGAATTGTTCTTAATCTTTTATTTATATATCCAACTTTTATCAAATTTAATTCTTCTTGAGTAAGATTTATGAAACTTTTATGGTAATTTTTGAATGTGTAAATTTTATTCACTAAAAAAAATCTTATTAATAACCGAGATCGGTTAATTTTATAGTAAGTTAAATATCATAAATCGCGTGAGAACCTTGAGTGAGATGAATATAAGATTTGAACTATTCCACCTACCATGTTTGGGTGGAGGAAGATACCAAAACTTCATCACCCACTTATAATTAGGATGAC